TGAGGTTTCGTGGTTTGGCATTCACGACTCAGGATCGCAGGGGCGGCAGTAGCTTCTGGCGATACGTGCAAGGAAGGAAGTAAGGAAGTTCAAGGCTGTCCGCCCCGGCTTTCGAGTTTCTGGTCTCAGCCCCGCACCACATCTCTGGCACCTGTCCGAAGGAAGAACTATGGGGAGGCCGCAAAGCTAAAGACGTGCACAGATCCATGAGGTCTGTTTCTGTCTAATGTCAACTTTACTTCGCAAGGCTCACAGCTTGGGACCGTAAGCCCGGCCCCAAGCCTCAGGCATGCGGCCACCGTGTCAAAAGCTTTCGTCACAAGCTTCCTCTGAGACAGGAATCATGGAATCCACCAACATAGCGCCCAGGAGATGTCTCACAGGCACAAACAGCAACCGACGCTAAGGATAACCCAACGTAACAAAAGCTGCATCGTGCAACCCTACACAGCACAGCGTCGCTGGAGAGAAGCCTTGCGCCCAAAATCCTGAGCCCTGAAACAACATGCAAGGAGCCACGGACAATACAACCCAAATCCCATCCCCACCTCGTTAATGAAGAGTTGTTTCCCCAGCTCTTCCAGCTCGGCGGTCATGACCTTGGAGCAGGGCTTTACAGGCTTCTGAGGTCGTTGCCAAGGGGTTTTCCTTGTCGTGCTCTCAACCTTCCCCTGGGCCCCTCACAATCAGGCCTTTGATGGCCTTGCGGAATGCCTGGCAATAAATGGTTGGGCGCCTCTTTCGAATCCAGGCTGACCTTCTGTATATGTATAAGCATGTGTGTGCCCCGTATACGTTATCTATCATGTCTTTCCTGTGAGGAGTGCATCTTCCTTGCCTTGCCTGGCAATTCAGAATTTCCAGCACCAGGGTGCACGGAAAACCCTCCCTGAGCCCTTAAACGGCTCTGAAACCGAAACCATGAACGAGAAATGGCTGTCTGCCTGAGTTTATTTCACCATGCCTTCAGCGAGCTGTCCATGGTTGTAAGCAGCTTGTTGTAACCTCGGCTTTTCTGACATTCTCGGGCTGCATTGCCATTCATGCATAGGACGCATGACTTGGCAGGCGGAACGGTTCACATGTAACGGATGGCGGACCACTTGCTGCCCGTGCTGACCAAGGACCGAAGCAGCTTTTTTGGGGAGTTGTGTTGAAGTTGAAACTCACGGGCATCCTCTCATTCGGATCTTAGGACTTCTGATCATGCAGAAGCTTTTCCGCATCGTCGAGGCTCAGGTGCAGGACAATGCTGCCGCCCTGAGGGCATTGACGCGGGCCCCGAGCTCGAAATCCCATGGGCAACACCCATGGCAGAACACAAAGTTAAACAGAAAATACAGGTAAATCGTACCGAGCTCGAGGCGGAGGCACTCTTGCTTGACAACGGTGTTCATGGATTCCTGTGTAGGATGACCGAGAGAAGTCTTCGGGTTAAGGTTGCATGGCCTTTGAGTGCCTTGGGATGTGGGGTTGTGGGCCGAAGCAGATGCATGTGAACAGAAGTTTAATCGAGATAACAAGTATGCGGTATGCGCACGGAAACCCGGAAAACCGCACAAACGGACTCAAACAGGATAAAATACATTTGCAGATAAAGGGACAAAGAAGCACAACCACATTCTCCCACGCTTTCGCCGTTGTGGAGACTCGCACTTGTGAATCCGGGTTTTAATACATTCATTCAGCTGGTCTTTTCCAGCTTCAGGCCCCAAAGACCCAAAGTTTCCGTTATTAGGGTATATCTCTGTGTGACTTGCTATATGTGCTTTGTTGTGTGTTGGTGTGTGTGTGTGTGTCTCCAAACACACCGGAACATCCAGAACCCCCACCCTAAGGCCCAGAACCCCAAATGCCAAACTTCCGCAAAAATCTAAGGCAAAGAAACCTGAATCACCAAAACTTTCGAAGCGGCCACTTCCCGTCCATTTCCTCGTATCTGGTGGGGAACTTCTGCTCACAAACATCCAGCCTGAGACAGTTGAGTCTGCTACATCATTCAATACTCAATACTCAATACTGCACTGCAACCAATACCATAAAAACACTATTACCGGAATTGCTGAAACTGCTTTTAGTTTTGCCGCGTTGTTGTTATTGTCGCTATTCTTCTTCTTGTTCTTGCTGCTGCCGTTTTGGCTGCCGCTGCTGCGGCAGCTTCTGCTAGAGAAAGTTGAGCTGAGGCCGCTGCTGCTGATGATGTGCTTGTCATGAACAGCTGTATCATCAACATGCTACTCGCAGTGCTCTTGCTCTGGTGATTTGTGCTTTCAGCTCTGTACAAGTGTGCTCTCTGGACGGCTGCACTTTACTTTACGAACCAGATGCTCAATATCGCCATGCATCAACCACGATTTGTTGCGCAATCTTGCTTTCTGGCTTGTTTTCTCTCTTATTGTTGTCCAGGGCCTGAGGGGCGAGTCACTGCCGGTTGAAGGTTGCGAGAAGTGTTGCTGTCCATGCTCACTTCTCGACTCACTCTCTCACTCTCTCACTCTCTCTTTCCTTTCGTCAGGGCTGTGGTGCAGGGGGTTTCCC